CTGCCACGGCTGTTCCAGAGAGCTCTCCAGCTGGCCTGATGCAGGAGCTGAGCGTGGTAGCCTCCTCACGTTCTCCTGTTCCCCTCTCTCATGCTTGTCCGTACTCTTCTCCACGACAATCTTTTTGAGCTGTGGTGCCTTGCCTTGCAGGTACCACCCGTCACCAGCACGTCGACGCCTCTGATTGGAGTTTTGTCGTCCACCCAAAACAACCGCTGCCTCTCCGCTCCAGACCTGACGGCAGAGAAACGCCTGGTTCTCAACCCTGTTTCGTCCCTCTCGGCCCTGCACAAGCCAGAGCGATCCATCAGCCCCGAGCGCAATGACAGCATCTTTTCTTTAAGCCTATCGTCTGCTCCCCGTGTACTCCTCCAAAGAGGCTTCCTGACGGCAGAGTCCTGAGCCCTCTCATTATCAAGTCCACCCCGAGAAATCTGAGCCGGAGCCTGCAGAAGCCGACCACCTACGAGGCCAGTCCTAGGATACTGAAAAAATGGGAGCAGATATTTCAGGAGCGCCAGATCAAAAAGACTCTCTCTAAAGCGACCCTTACGTCCTTGGCTTCAGAGCCTGGGGAAGATGTTATAGTTCCTGACATCACCAACTCCAGCAGTTGCACTAAAGAGCAGCCGCAAGTGCAGGATGATCACCTTCCACCTGACACAACGGGAGACCCTCGCCCCGAGCTGGATTTCTTTCCTTCCATCAGTGAAACGAAGCCGGGAAGAGGGAGTGAGAAGAACAGAGATTCACAAGCCTTAACAACAGATGACAGCGCTGCCGAACCAGATGCGAGATCAAATGTCACCTCCCTAAACACACGAGTGTCCGAAGTCCCTGACCTAAAAGTGACTGCGTTCATGGACAAATCCTGTCTTAATCTTGGCCCAAAAATGCTGAGCAGAAGACTCATGGGCGTCAATGCATCGCTGCCTGACAACAGCACACTAGGAGTCCCCGTCAAGACATCGGGAAAAAAGCAGCTGAAATACCTGAACAACAGCGAATTGATCAACGTGCAGAACAGCACCTGCAATTCCGTTGAGAACATCATCGGGGAACAGCACCCGTCGCTGAGACGGGGCCGGAAGAGACACTGCAAAACGAAGCACTTGGAGCACAACGGCTCCGTCAAAAGACTGAGGCACGCGGCAGGGGAGGTGGGCTTGCCTCCAGAGGATCACTTGGTACGGGAGATGGAGCAGAAGCTCCAGCAAGAGGAGGAGGACAGGAGGTTGGCCCTGCATCTGCAGCGGATTTTCGACAGCGAGAATAGGACAGTGGATAGGCGGAAAGTCAGAGTCGATCGGTATCTGCTGCGGTCGAAGAGCACTCTGGGTGCTAAGTAGCACTGGTGGACGATGTTGCCTTTCTAGAGGACGATGAGGTTTATCAGATTATCTTATAGGAAAACTATTTTTTGTCATACTTCCACCCACAACAATTGTTTTTTCATTTTGGTGGTAAGACATTTGTAGGTCCAGTTCAGAGAGTAGCCAGAGTCCTTTCAGATTAACAAAAAAAAAAAAAGAGAGAGAAAAAAAAAATCCTCCAGCTTTCTGGTCCATTGGTCTGAAAGAAGTGTCCATCATCCCCGTGAATACACTGCAACGCCTCTACACGCAGTCGGTGACATTTGGGTTCCCCAGCTGGGAGGGTTGTGTGAGCAGTACGTGGGGTATGGGATAAGGACCTTGTCCGTTCCTTGCCTTGTCGCTTCACTATGCCACGAGAAATCAGAGCTCTCCTCACGGAAAGCAGGCTTTTTCTGTCCTAGAAACAGTCTTCTCCTCTCTTCCTGCCCCGTTTTCTTCCTTATGCTGCAGCTGGCTGTGGTTATCAGACTGTTACCGATGTCAGCGTGTTCGAATGACCTGACTTGAGGGCTGTTGGGAAGGGAGGCTGATCCGTATTTCTGCTAGGAAATACCGAATAGATCCACCCGTAGTACTTAAAATGAACGTATCTCACTGTCTGCACCAGCAGTACAGCTCATAGGTTACTTTCTTCATATAGGAAGCCAAATGCAGCGAAGAAAGATGTGAAATAAGGATTTTACTGAAAAGCAGTATAGGAACTTGTACATTCATGTTAGTGACCCAGCAGAGAGCTCGGGTAGCGTGGCTGGGAGCTGTGACCCAGGGAACAAATGCAGCTTTTCTCCTGGTCCCTGCCTCTTCTGAGGCAAGAGGGTTTCATGTTTTTCCCACTAACATTGAAATCTGGAAAGGGAAACGCTGGCCGAGTGATTTCGGGAAGAACCTTCTCCCTGCTGACATGTACCCCGCAGGTTCTTGCTCAGTTAAGAGATCTCTCAGAACACCTAAGACCTGCTTTACATGTCCATGAACGGCCTGAGGAGACATCCCAAGGTATCTGACGCATCGCCGTCCTCTCCCAGGCACCCGATGGCTTGGTGGTAGAGTTGGGACAGGAGCCCAGCCCTCCCGGCCCGTGGGCACACGGACGCGGGTGCTCAGGGCGATGCAAGCCTGCCCTGCCCCTGCTCCGAGCTAGCTGTCTTCAGGTTCAAACCACTAAGAAAGCTCAGGTGAGCGATGCACTAAAAATTTCCGCTTAAAGGCACGAAGTCGGGCACGGCAGCCTGGACCAGAGCTAGCTCGGAGCCTGGGTTTGGTGGAGCCTGTGTTGTCTGCCCAGATGTGGTCTTCAGTGGCAGCCCACCCTCTGAGCTCTTCGTGTTTCTAACGTTCTTCCCCGTCATCCATTAACAGCACAATAATTTTGTTGATGATTTCCAGTAATTGGGCTCAAAACCCATCAGTTCAACTTGACACTTGAAAGCTGCCTTGCAGAGTATTCACTGGGGACCCTCGGTGCCCACAGGGACCTTCGTCCAGGGCGGAGGCTGCGGCATTAACCATCTTGCTGACCTGTGTGCCGGATGACGAGTGGTATTTTCAGGACATAACTGAAGCACAGTGCTGGGGCAAACTTAGCGTGACCCATGGCATGAAGGGAGGTCAGCCAATGCATTTAAACAGATGGATCTGATCTAAGAGAACGGCCCAATTTCCTCTGTCTAAAAAAAAATGGTTGAATTTCTCCCTCCATCTTAAATGGTTAAAAAACCAACCCAGGAGCTGGTTTTCTTTTTCTCTTCTGGCATACTTGCATAACTGCAAGGACCCTGGCGCTTTTTTTCCTAATTGAACTGGATTTTTTTTTTTAAAAAGAAATCTTATATTTTAATGGATAAAATTTATATATTTTAAATACTATATTTCAACAGATTGACACTTTTGTTTTGAGAAATCTTATAGCAATGATTCCGTAATATATATATCTATCTCTGTATCTCCTTAACACACAAACTACTGGATGTTTAAAGTCGTAGCTAGGGCCGGCTAGACCTGGCCCGGTCTGCCTACCCCCTGAG